TTTTTTTTTTTTTTTTCAATGCCTCAGTTAGGGTAATTTTAATACAAAGGTAAATGACGTGTGCAAATACATCGAGCCAGCGATTCGTTCAAAGGAGTTTTGCAATTGATTAAAAACTATTAGATTCATCAATCCCCGTTACTAAAGAAGAGTAAAACGAAGAAATCTCACCCTCACGTGCGCATTACTCTATTCCATACATTCGCGTGAAACGGCAAAAATTTGCACTTATTGGCTCGAAATTAGGAAACTGATGTGGTCTCACACGAATATACGCCTCAATAAGGCTGACAAGTTGGATATCGACGTATGCTCGGCTCACCGTATAATGTACTTTTGCGTATAAGCGCGGGAGCGAAATGTGCAAGATTTTGCGCTCCACTTTGCAATAACGTTCTCGTTGAATAAAATGCGATACGAGGTGCATTTACTGGCTGGGGATTTGTTGTCATCGTCGTTTCGAGGGGTCCTGCTACTGATCCAGTTTTATGCGGAGTAGAAAGCTTTTCTGCCCCAAGAAGCGAGTCTTTAGAATTTTACTTTTTTCTCCCCATTAGGTGAGCACTTTAGCTTACGATTAATACATTTTTCTATGCTGACTAAAAAATAATGAGTGTTTGATTCTTATTTCTCACAAACCAAAATTAAAAATATAGTCATCATTGTTGTGAATTTACAGCAGTAATATCCAGAGTTCCCTTGTTTGTAATACATGGTTAATGTGATCAAGAAAACAATACTTATTAATTTTTTACCTAACGGACCAAACTAAATTAAAAATTAACTTTTCATCCAAAATCCTAACTAATGTAAATATGACAATTTCAGGCATCAAGAACAAATTATTTGAAAATTTGTTAAATAAATTTCTGGTATAAAGATATCAAGAGAAAAAAAAATAATAAAAATTATAGAGAAATTCCAGCAAAAATTACCATTCTGCCTAGTTAATCGAATGCAAGCTGGCAAAAAGGAAAAAATTTATTACAAGTTTTAACAGTTAAAATCATGGTTTGAATAGTAAAAATTATGGTTAGAACAGTAAAAATTACTATGCTCGAAAGTAAAATTCATTAACCAATCCCTGTAAGGTTTATTGTTCCAGCATAGTAATTTTTACTGTTCTAACCGTAATTTTTACTATTCAAACCATGATTTTAACTGTTAAAATAATAATGTTTACAGTTGAAAATATTAATTTTTTCTTCTTTGCCAACTGGCATCCGAATACTGTGCAGAAGACTAACTTTTACTCGGATTTTCTCTATAATTTTTGTTAATTTTTTTTTCTCAGTGTAGTTGTAAGCTACAGTTATTAATACAGTTACTTACTCTTAACTACTTTAAAATTTGAATAATTTTATTTAAAAAAAAAAATTTTAATTGCAATGATAAATAACATTTCTTTTTTTACTAGTAAAAGTTTCGTCACGATCAAGTTAAGCCATTTTTTGTTAATTTTATCGAAATCCGTAAATTAAGAGGTAGATTGAATGAAGTGTTCATAAATTTATTTCTGAGAGTATCAGTGACTAAAATAATATTTTCTCAAAGCTCTTTTAAGTATGGTATATTTAAATAATTTCACTTTTCTTCCAGATATAGCTGAAAGAAGCAACATATAGCTTTTTCGAATTCTTGAAGTACTTTTTATGTGAGTGTGAGTATTTTTCTGTCATAGTGGAGTTACTTTAATTTATATTGCTTTTATATAATTCATAAACTTTGTAAGCTCTGCAAAAAAAAAGTATTTTTACTTCTTTTTCTTTTACAAGCAACAAATCTTGTTAAAATTATTTGCGAAGATTTTTAAGTAACAATGAAATTATCATTCTCACTTTGTACACGAAATAGTTTTAGTCTTATTACTATGAACCATTTGATTGTGATAAATATTTTAGCTCAATTTACTTTATAGTCAGACTTGAGCATGATTATTTGATGGGTTTTTTAATTCTTCAAAANATTTATTAGATTTTTAAACAGTTTTTAATAAAATTTTTTTTCTGACAGCATGATGCATTACTTTTGTTGAAAATTGTTTTATTTTATTTTTCACTACTGAATGTAATACAACACTTAAATGATTTTTTGAATAGATATGTATTATTTCCTAAATATTTTTTTCAAAACGTAATGCACTATTTTTTTATAAATAAACATTGTTTAGTACTTGCTGTACTATAGTTGTGGTAAAAAAAAAATTACATTTTTTAATAACTCATTATTTTTATCACGAAAAAAGACAAGTGTCTATAACCATTTAACTTACAAGGTATGATTACAATTAATAAATAAAAAAAGTACACACATACACATCAAGCAGGCATGGATGATTCAGAAAATAATTTTACAGGGCTCATAACGTACTTACTTGCAACAAGTTTGAGTAAAAATTGAATCGGTTAAAGGCAAACAAACAAATAAATTAAAAATGGAGAAAGAAAAGAAAAACGAATATTTTACCAGGGTGTTAGCTAGACTAGGGTTATCGTGATGATGATTAAAGCGTCCTGATCGACCAACCGTTGGGGTTTGCGTCTGAGTGGATACGGTTTCCTTTCTCCTCGGCTCGCCGCATCGCACGCCGCTACTGTCACCGGTGCTCGCCGGCTCTGTGTTCTGCTTCAGTGTCTGTAAATCGGTAATTTACTTTTATTATTGATTCTTTCACTATATATTTATTGTTTACGAAATTGTTTTTTAAAATTCTATTTTTTAATTTTTTATAATTAAATAAACTGCCAACAAAAGTATCAAAGACGGTTGTGTACACAAAGTAAGGGATTGGTGAGAAAAAAAAAGACAATTTTCCAACATTATACGTGAATTAGACACAGAGCAAACACAACAGGGGGAAGAGAGCATATAAATAAAAATAAGTACTACATAACAGTAAGTGGGACGTATTTAGAGTTGGCTTACCATTTTTGCTCTTCTCAAAGTCAAGATTGACATCCCGGCGCTGCTCCCTCTGGGGCTCGGCGACAGCCGCGGTGGCGGAGGAGACGGAGGCAAAGGTCTTCTTCTTGAAGAGCGGCGTGCTCGCAGACATGGACAAGCCAAGAGGCGGTGGGGGTGGCGGTGGCTCGTTGGCTGGCAGACTCTTTTGGTGATTCTTGGTCGCCTCGAGGGTGCCACTCTTACCGGCGTGGGCCCTCAGCTCGAGAGTACCAGCGCCACCGCTGCTCCTGCCACTGCCTTGGCTCTGCTGTTGGGGCGGAGGCTGGGACGGGGGCGGTGGGGGCTGGTTGGGCGAGCGGTGGTGGTGAGAGGATCGGTGTGGCGAGTCCAGGCCCAGCCTGTAGCTGCCCGACTCGAGGGAGGTCCGGCTGTGAGAGACCGAACTGTCGCTCGAGCGGCCTGAGTCCTGGGAGTGGTTGTGGTGGCGACGGGGTGGGGGCTGTTGGGGTAGTTGTGGTGGTTGGATCGGGTGGTGCTGGAGCAGCTGGTGGTGTGACGAGGAAGACGGGGACTGTTGCTGTTGCTGTGGGGATGGCTGCTGATCGCTGTGCCTGTGGTGGTGACGATTGTTGTGGTGATGATGGTGATGGTGATGGTGACGCCGCGACGACGGGCTCGGCGATGGCGGCGACGTCTGCAAGTCAACCATCGCCCCTGGACTGTGTGGTTTACAGGCACCGATAAGCTGGAAATTGATGGATCATTCATTAATTTTTTATTATTATTCATAAATAGTCACGCGTGGAAATAGAAAAAATAGCTATATCCAATTAAGTGACACATGATTATTTCGTGAGGGATTTTCTAGAGGGATGTAATTTTTCTTGCAAACTGTTTTATTAGGTTGATATGAGTATATTTTATCGGACAAGATACAAAGATTACGTTATCTGCACGGTTTTACATTACATATCTTTTAAAAGCAAAATGGACAATTGATGACAATGACTTACGGATACTTTGACACGTCATGCTGTGGGTAATCAAAAAAAAGGTGTGTTAATTTTCCAATGTAATCATCTTTTTTTGTGTTCTCTAATATAATATAATAAAACAATATGTATTTTGAAAATCGCTATGTAGTTTCATCTTAAGAGAAATTCAATAAACTTTCAATGCGTAAAAATAGATCTATTCAAACAGACCACAAAAAATGTTGTTGTTTTTAGCTTTAAGAATTAGAACAAAATGTTTTGTACGATGATATTTACGTATAGAGTTTCATACATTCTTATTTTTGTTATTATTATTATTATCATTATTATTATTATTATCATCATTATTATTATCATCA